TCTCTCTCTCTCTCTCTCTCTCTCTCTCTCACACACACACAAACACACACACACACACACTCACTCACTCACTTTATTCTAAGAGCCTCTGCTCCACCTGACAGTGATGTTCTGCTGCTGTAGGTCCAGGAATGCAGTTCTCATATAGGATAGCTGAAGTCTGTTACCTTATCAAGCGTGTTCCCTCACAGACAAGAATTGGCCAGTTGTCACGGGCATTCTGGGTGTTCTTTGTGAAGCTTTTAAAAAGTCTCTTTCTCCTAGCTTCCAGTCAAGGCAAATGAATGCTATTTTACATCAAAATCACAGTTATTTATCTAAAGTGAATTTTAACAGCTGAATCAAGACTATCTCCTGAGGTTTATAATTCTATATGCTGTGAACATGCATTTTCAACTGGATAGTGACCTATTGTTGAGTCCAATTATGCCTAGAAGTGGCTCTGTATTCTTCGATAGTAATTACTGTTTCTTTTTGTGTTTGGCAGCTAAAGAAAAGAAGCCAGCTTACAACGGGGGTCTATGTGAAAATGCCCCCAACAGAGCCAGAATGTGAAAAGCAATTTCAGCCATATTTTATTCCCATCAATTGAAGGGACCATTATGAAGAAGAAAGACCATATTGCAATTTCTAAGAGCAAAAGCAATTCTAACTTTTTTGCCATCCAGTTATTTTTATTTGTTTGTGTATTTTGGGGGAAATAATCTCTCTTTAATATAAAGCTGGATGCAGAACCATCATTAAGTATACTACAATTTAAAGCAAAGGAGCAAACAGAGCCAGTTTGTTCCTGTCATATCAGATCCATTTTTGTAAAAGCATCTCTTGGGATCAACATGGGGTGCAGCATTATGATGTAGGGTCATGGAATTAAGTCAGGGAATGGCACAGTCCAAAGAAGAGAAAGGACAGGAGTAAGGGAGGGGACTGTATTGCACATACCTTGTATTTATGTGTGATATATTCCCAGCTGAAATGATCTTCTCAAGTTAAATTTTTATGCCTTTTTTTAATATAAAGAACAAATGTATAATTACGTCAAGGCTTTACAAGTACTCACACGGCTATGTTTTAGCCAGTGATTCCCAAGTTCGTATTGTACTGACATGCAGTTTTTAAAAAATTTGCTAGTATTGTGCATGGGGTCACATATATTTTTGTGTGTTTGCTGATGGTTTGAATATAAACACTATATAACAGTGTCTTCCCACTGTGAGTCCCAGGGAATTTGTGTGGAGGAGAGAGGACACTAATAGATCAGGTAAGACACAAGGTCATTTGCTGACTGACTCGGGAACTGGGTAAGGTTGTAGCAGTGCTCAAGGGCAAAACACAGTGGCTCATGCCTGGAATCTCAGCACTTGGGGAGACCGAGGCAGGAAGGACAGATTTAGTCCAGGATTTGACACCAGCTTGGGCCACACAGTAAGACCTCATTTCTAAAAATCAAATAAAAAAATTATCCAGTTATGCAGTTATGGTGGTGCACACCTATAGTCCCAGCTACTTGGGAGGCTGAGGTGGAAGGATCACTTGAGTCCAGGAAGTCGAGGCTATGGTGAGCTGTGACTGTGCCATTGCACTCCAGGCAGAGTGACAGAGTGAGATCCTGACTCAGAAAAAAAAAAAAAAATGTATAGCAGCAATCAATTGCAGGGAACTGTGCTGAGTTGGTGTTGACAAGTGCTCCAGGGCTTTACGCCAGCTCCTTTTAATGGTTTGCAAGGAAGCCAAGGCTGGTGGCATCTGGGTTAGTTCAACAGAACACTGTCTTCAAGACAATGGCTCACTCTAGCCATTGGAGACCTGCAGGTATGACCTTCTAGGAAGTTCAGGTTAAATGGGCACGATTCTTATAAACACATGGTTAACACAAGTACAGAGGAAAGCAGCGGGTGGTGGAACTAGCACTGTTGGTGTTTTTTAACTCAATATTTTCCATGAAAATGCAACAACATGTATAATATTTTTAATTAAATAAAAATCTGTGGTGATCGTTTCCAGGGTTGTTTTTATCATCTTCACACTGGAGTTTTGTGTCTGAGTCTGGTTTTGATGGATTCACTCAGTGGTTGGTGGAGTCTCTAGTTTTAGAAGTGTTGGAGGAAACACATTAGAAAAACACGAAAGGGTAAACCATACTGCATGGGTCAGCATGCACCAGCCCATCCCCTGGTGCCCACTGCCTTTCTCGGATGAACCTTTCCTCTCTCCTTTGGTTTCTTCACAGCTGTTTGGGATAAACTATGGTTGGCATGGCCATAGCCATCCTAAATAAATCACTCAGCCGGCTTTGTCACACGGTTCCTCACCTCCTCTTTTTCACCATCACTTTCTCAGTTCAACTCTCATAGGGATGGCAGTTGCCATGGCAACGCCAGTGTTGCCACCCACGCCCCTGGCAGCCATTTTCACCGTCCATGCCGGCAAATGAAGTTTTCCCTTGTGGCTTCCAGATGGATGATTGTGAAAACATGGGGGAAACAGAGGGATTCTCTGTTGCTGTCAGCCAGTAGACCTGGGATTCTTGGTTAACCAGTGTGTAGCCTCAGGCTGCTTGGTTTCCACTTACGGTTTCTACTTACGGTTTCTTATTCTTGACCTCCACATCCTGTTGTTGTCTTGTGCATTGACTCTCAGTGTGGTCAGGGACCACCTGTCATGGAATCCACTGGGTCCCTTGTTAAAAACACTGATTCGAGTGCTTATCCTTAGATGCACTGAGTCAGAATCTTTGGGTGTTGAGGCCAGGAGTGTGCACTTCCAAAAGTCTCCCCAGTGCTGCTTATACCCACCAAGTTTTGAGATTTGCTGCTTAGGCAGCTCTCTCTCTCTCTCTCTCTCTGTGTGTCTCTGTCTTTTTCTCTCTTCCCTTACTCTTTCTCTTGCTCTCTCTTTTTTCCCCAGTAAGTGCTAACAAACAAATGAGACAGCACACAATAAGCTTTCCTTAAAGGGTTGTTAAATATAAATGAATAGGTGTTTCAGAGTGGGTGATGGTTATTACCCAGAATGGGCTCCCATATGTGGAAAATTCTGCTTCTTGCTCTCTCGGCCTTGGGGTGGTAGCCATGAAGGAATATACAAGTTAGGAACTCTAGTTCATACCATTTCTACTCCTCCAAATGTCTTCAGAGAACTCACTCTTCCACAGCTGATGGCAGACCTAAGTGCCAGACAGGGCCTTAGACAAGGGACCTCCCAGTTACCTTTAGATACCCTTGGGAAATAGACTTCTTTACATAAGCTTGATGTTTCCTCTACTACTACTTAAAATCCTACCATTTGCTAGTCATTGAGTTTAAGCCTTGCCCTTTTCCCTCAGTCTCAATCTCATAAAAATAAAATACACCTTAGCTAAAAAAATCTCTCCTATGGCAGAAGGATTGGTCAAGAAAGACTGCCACCTGGGGCTTCATTGAAAGGGGAGAGAACAACTATGAGGAAGAGCGCATCTGGGCACCAAGTGACAGCCTCAGCTAGCCCCTATGCTGTGTGTGAGGGCAGGCCCTGTGCCTGCAGTCTTCAGGGAGGTCAGAGTCCTAGCTGTCTCATTCCAGCCTCCATCTCCATCTCTATCTCTGGGGTCAGTGTCCTGAGGTAGCCTGAAGATACATCTACATGGGGCTTGGTCTACCATGCAAGGGGAGCTTGGGTGCTGTGACCTCCTTCCTAGAACCACTTGTTCCAGGCAGGGACATGAATGACAAGAGAGTAGGACAGAGCTGCCAGGGGCTCCAGGCCAGCTTCTCCAATATGCCCCACCACAGGCCTCTGCCCACCTGGATCCCCCAGCACAGTGCCCTCATTCCTGCGACATCCTATCCCCCTTCTCACCTGCGGGCACCGTCATCTCTCATCCTGAAACCCATCATGACAAATCTCAGATTTTGCCTCCACCCTCAGATTCGCTGACACTTTAAGCCCATGTGGACCTCTTCCTGTCTGTGTCACAGCTGTATTTGGTTTCCTCTCTAGTAATTCCAAGAGTGTATGTCTTTTCTGCCTAGTTTTATGAGGAACTTCTCCAAGACAGGGATCGTCACAGCTTTATGCCTCCAGTAGATGCTTGAATAAATGGATTGAAGAGTTGAGATGCCAGGACAATTGGGACTATGGAAGGACAGCAGTTGTCCACACAGAGCTCGACTGTGTTTGCTCAGGAAGCCCACCTCACCTCTCTCCCAGGTGATGGGCAGATCTGTGTGCAGATCAATGCAGCTGCTGGAGTAAACCGTAAGACTCTGGGTTGTGAGCTCCAGCTACAGCCTTGCCTCACACATTATACTTTTACCCTGATCCAGTACTATTTCCAATCTTTTCTTTTTTTCAGAATTCTTTTTTTTCTCTCTTTCTCTCTTTCTTTTGTTCTTTCTTTCTTTCATTCTTTTTTGAGCTGTGATCTCACTCTGTTGCCCAGGGGGTAGAGTACAGTGACACAATCACAGCTCACTGTAGCCTTGATCTCCTGGGCTCAGGTGATCCTTCTGCCTCAGCCTCCCAAGTAGCTGGTACTACAGGCACATGCCACCATGCCCAGCTAAGTTTTGAATTTTTTGTAGAGACAAGGTCTCACTATGTTGCCCAGGCTAGTCTTGAACTCCTAGGCTCAAGCAATCCTCCTGCCTTGGCCTCCAAAAGTGCTGGGATTACAGGCAGGAGCCACTGTACCTGGCTCTTTCTTTCTTTTGACCTGTGGGTTGTTGCTAAAACTGACGGCATTTTTACACCCAATCTGAGTTTTCTTTGATATCCACAGTTAATACACACTTAATTTAACTTAGTGGAGCTGACCTTGTGAAATATCAATGTCACTGTATTGGAGCAAAGCCAGGTAAGAAGTTCAAGAATTTATGAATTGAAGTTATTGTTTTGGGAGGTCTCAAAGCAAAAGGGAAAGAGGCTTTTTCTGCAAAGCCTTTCCTATTGCCTCATTCTCTCTTGCACCTGGTTAGAACCATGACTCAGGCTCCTTGGAGACCTTGTTTCATTTGATGTGTTTTTGTTTGTTTTTCTCATCTTGGGTCAATTTTCTCTGTTTAGCCCAGAAATATGACATGACCTCTTGGAGAAAAGGGAGGAATTTTTTTTTCTTTCCTCTTTTATGTTTTCTTGACTACAGGCTGAGATAGGGGTTAGCAGGTAGGTTTGCCAGATTCAATCCCAAAATCCCACAAAAACCAAAAACCAAAAAAACAAGACACCCTCTATTAATCTGACAACACTATCAGCAGGAAAGTTTATTAATGTAGTGTGAACAAGAAGTGTGCTGGGGACCCTCTGAACAAGAACTACCTGAGACTGTGACCATGTTCCCATTCCAACACAGTCTCCTGTCCCCACTCCCGGCACATCTGGGTTGATGCTGTCCCAGGAGGCAACTGGACCTACAGTGGAAGCAGCTGAACATCTTCCAGGCAAATTTCCTAGAAGTCAGCCCACCCTGGTATGTCTGGTGAGGAAACTGACATTCAGGCCCTTCTGGGAAAGCATGGCTTCCGTGGGTGCACTCTGTTCTCACGCTTACTGTGCTCCATAATCATTTGGACCATTTGGGCAAAACACAGATTGAGGCATTTCAGACCCAAAGTTTCTCACTCATAAGCTCCAAGGCAGGGATCTAACTTAGGCAAGTCTC